CAAGGCACGCATGGGGGGAAAGCAAGGCACGCATGGGGGGGGAGCAAGGCACGCACGGGGTGGGGAGCAAGGCACGCGGTGTGGGGAAAGTGAGGCATGCACGTCAGAGGGGGGAAGGAGGCACGCGTGGAGGGGGAAAGCAAGGCACGCATGGGGGGAAAGCAAGGCACGCATGGGGGGAAAGCAAGGCACGCACGGGGGGAAAGCAAGGCACGCATGGGGGGAAAGCAAGGCACGCATGGGGGGAAAGCAAGGCACGCATGGGGGGAAAGCAAGGCACGCACGGGGGGAAAGCAAGGCACGCATGGGGGGAAAGCAAGGCACGCATGGGGGGAAAGCAAGGCACGCATGGGGGGAAAGCAAGGCACGCATGGGGGGAAAGCAAGGCACGCATGGGGGGAAAGCAAGGCACGCATGGGGGGAAAGCAAGGCACGCACGGGGGGAAAGCAAGGCACGCATGGGGGGAAAGCAAGGCACGCACGGGGGGAAAGCAAGGCACGCATGGGGGGAAAGCAAGGCACGCATGGGGGGAAAGCAAGGCACGCATGGGGGGAAAGCAAGGCACGCACGGGGGGAAAGCAAGGCACGCACGGGGGGAAAGCAAGGCACGCATGGGGGGGGAGCAAGGCACGCACGGGGTGGGGAGCAAGGCACGCGGTGTGGGGAAAGTGAGGCATGCACGTCAGAGGGGGGAAGGAGGCACGCGTGGAGGGGGAAAGCAAGGCACGCATGGGGGGAAAGCAAGTCACGCATGGGGGGAAAGCAAGGCACGCATGGGGGGAAAGCAAGGCACGCATGGGGGGAAAGCAAGGCACGCATGGGGGGAAAGCAAGGCACGCATGGGGGGAAAGCAAGGCACGCATGGGGGGAAAGCAAGGCACGCATGGGGGGAAAGCAAGGCACGCATGGGGGGAAAGCAAGGCACGCATGGGGGGAAAGCAAGGCACGCATGGGGGGAAAGCAAGGCACGCATGGGGGGAAAGCAAGGCACGCACGGGGGGAAAGCAAGGCACGCATGGGGGGAAAGCAAGGCACGCATGGGGGGAAAGCAAGGCACGCATGGGGGGAAAGCAAGGCACGCACGGGGGGAAAGCAAGGCACGCATGGGGGGAAAGCAAGGCACGCATGGGGGGAAAGCAAGGCACGCATGGGGGGAAAGCAAGGCACGCATGGGGGGAAAGCAAGGCACGCATGGGGGGAAAGCAAGGCACGCACGGGGGGAAAGCAAGGCACGCATGGGGGGAAAGCAAGGCACGCATGGGGGGAAAGCAAGGCACGCATGGGGGGAAAGCAAGGCACGCATGGGGGGGGAGCAAGGCACGCACGGGGTGGGGAGCAAGGCACGCGGTGTGGGGAAAGTGAGGCATGCACGTCAGAGGGGGGAAGGAGGCACGCGTGGAGGGGGAAAGCAAGGCACGCATGGGGGGAAAGCAAGGCACGCATGGGGGGAAAGCAAGGCACGCACGGGGGGAAAGCAAGGCACGCATGGGGGGAAAGCAAGGCACGCATGGGGGGAAAGCAAGGCACGCATGGGGGGAAAGCAAGGCACGCATGGGGGGAAAGCAAGGCACGCATGGGGGGAAAGCAAGGCACGCATGGGGGGAAAGCAAGGCACGCATGGGGGGGAAGCAAGGCACGCATGAGGGAAAGCGTGTGGAAATGAGTGTTGGGTGGCGGAAATGAGTGTTGGCCGGCGGAAATGAGTGATGGGTGGCGGAAAGAGCGATGGGTGGCGGAAATGAGTGATGGGTGGCGGAAAGAGCGATGGGTGGCGGAAATGAGTGATTGGTGGCGGAAATGAGTGATGGGTGGCGGAAATGAGTGATGGGTGGCGGAAAGAGCGATGGGTGGCGGAAATGAGTGATGGGTGGCGGAAATGAGTGATTGGTGGCGGTCACGAGTGATTGGTGGCGGAAATGAGTGATTGGTGGCGGAAATATGGGGTGCAATTGTCGTAGCAATGGGCGGGCGTGATGGGGGGCGCCGAACAGGACTGCCTTATGGGCGGCGTGAGGCGTGGGATACGGGCCTCGCTCACGACAAAAACGGACGCCTTGTGGCGTGGGACACTGGCAGCGAGAGGCGTGTCACGCGGACGACGTGCGGAGACGGAACCTGGGGCGAGAAACCATGGACGTCGCGCGGCGTGGATACGGGCGGAGATTGGAGAAAAACGAACGACGGCGCCGTGTGATATATCGGGACAGATGCGACCTAAACCGACGTCGTGCTTCGTGAGATACGAGCGGTGATAGGAGAGGAAAACGGAGTTCGTGCCTCATGGGATATGGGCACCCATAGGTAAGAACACGGACGTTTTGCCATGTGTGATACGGGCGGAGACCGGACGTCGTGTAATCTGGGCAGACTGAGGCGTGGGATATGCAAGGCGTGGGGCGAGGGACGTCGTGGGACGGGCGTGTGTTGTGAGCGGAAGGAACACGGCGAGGCGATGCGACGGACCGTCAGCTGGGAGGGGAGTGGTGCGATGTTGGAACCCGCTTTTGAAGTTGTTGCTCATATCTCGACGCTATGGGAAGCCGTGAGCACGTCCAACAACTTACCGGTTCTAAAAGGCGTGCCTATACTATTCTGCTGCTAGTCGGGTATGGGGCTGCGATAGCGAGCAGTTGAGTTCACTTTTGTTCAAAGGTTTTTGATTGTGCCATGCGCAGCGTGAATATGCCAAGGCCCTTGCGCCCCCTATAAACAGCGGGGAGGTCTTTGTGCCCCCCACCCCCCTCTGTACAAAACATGGTAACCAGCCGTTCAAACTAAAAACTTCTGAGCCCAACCCTGCCAAAAGTGCACCGTCGCTTTAACACCTTCCCTCCCGAACCAGGGTGGTTACCAGTTGTTCACCTGCAAAACGTGATGAAGTCGCAGGCAGCGAAGGGAAGTGTCGCTCGGTTCCTGCGCAACCACTCTGGCGTTGGTGTGCACACCAAACTGGAAACCTGTAATTCAGGTCGATAGAAACTGCTTAGTCCGATCAGCACCAGCGGCAGCCATATCTTAGAACAGCTACGCTCCAACCTCATTCCAGCCCCAGGCCTCTTAGACCCGCCATACTCGTTAGGACTAATACTCCATTCCGTATGTGCCAAAGATATATCTTTCCCCGATTTTAGCCTTCCCGCTTCTACTCGCCCACGTTGCACCTCCCCAATGCCCACCGCATCGATGTCGCCCCTGTTCATAGCCGCGGCGTCCTCTCCGTCCGCGTTTCTAAGGTTTATCGACCTACTTCGGCGCATTCGCTTCTTCTCCCCGTAGTCCACACTCGGTCCCCTTCCGTCCCACACACGCACTCCCCTCCATCGCTCACGCTGCCTCGCGAGACAGAGCACGCTCCCTCCCCTCTCGTCTCCTTCGCGCAATCCCCATTGTCGCGCACGCTCTGTTCCGTCGCGGATTACAAATTCCTTCCCGTCGCCCACGCGGGAGCGCCGAGACCGGTCACGCACACTCCCTTCCGTCACCCACGCGCACTCCGTCGGTTACCTCGGCCCATGCGCACTCCCTTCCGTCGCCCACGCTCACTCCCTTCCCATCGCCTACGCGCAATCGATCCGTCGCCCACTCTCAATCACTTCCCTCGCCCGCGCTAGCTCCCTTCCCGTTGCCCACACTCACTCCCTTTCCTTCGCCTTCGCGCAATCCTTACATCGCACAATCTCACCCCCGCTCGGGGCACACGGCCAATTCCCTCTCGCCGCACGCTGCCGCCCGCGCCCGGCGCTCTCTTTCAATCTCCTCCCGCCGTCCACGCGCACTCCATCCCGGCGCTGCACGACGACTCCCCTTCCGCCGCCCACGCTCACTCCCTCCTGCCGCGACAGTCCCCTCCGTCGCACATGCTCACTCCCCTCCGTCGCCCACGCCCACTTCCTCTCGTCGCGTTCACTCCTCCCCGTCGCGCACGCTCTTTCCCCATCCGTCGCCCACGCTCACTGCCCGTACGTCGCACACTCTCACTCCCTTCCGTCGCCCACGCTCACTGCCCGTACGTCGTACACTCTCACTCCCTTCCGTCGCCCACGCTCACCTCCCTCCCGTCGCCTTCGCTCATTCCCCTCCGTATCCCACGCTCACTCCCCTTACGCCGCCCACGCTCGCTCCCTCCAAGTCGCGTTCGGCCCCATCCGTCGTCCACCCTCACTCCAGTGCCGTCACACACGCACGCACCCTCCCCTCGACCGAGAAGGCATTCTCCGCTTCCGTCGCATACGCGTTCATCTCCCCATCCCTCATCTCCCCATCCCTCACCTCCCCATCCCTCACCTCCCCATCCCTCATCTCCCCGTCCCTCATGTCCCCATCCTCATCTCCCCATCCCTCACCTCCCCATCCCTCTCCTCCCCATCCCACACCTCCCCATCCCGCATCTCCCCATCCCTCATCTCCCCATCCCTCATCTCCCCATTCCGCCTCCCCCCATTCCGCCTCCCCCCATTCCGCCTCAACCCATTCCGCCTCCCCCCATTCCGCCTCACCCCATTCCGCCTCACCCCATTCCGCCTCACCCCAGTCCGCCCCACCCCATTCTCCGCCTCACCCCATTCCGCCCCACCCCATTCTCTATCCCCTCCTCTTCCAAGCCCATCCCTCCTCGCCTCTCCCCATCCCTCCTCTCCCAATCCGTCCTTTCCCCATCCGTGCTCACCCCATCTCGACCTCACCCCATCTCCGCCTCACCCCATCTCCTCCTCACCCCATCTCCTCCTCACCCCATCTCCTCCACACCCCATCTCCTCCTCACCCCATCTCCGCCTCACCCCATCTCCTCCTCACCCCATCTCCTCCTCACCCCATCTCCGCCTCACCCCATTCACTCCTCGTCTCATGCGGAAATCATCAGGACGGGGGGAGAACGGCAGGAGGACGCGCATTAATCAGCAGCAGCAGCATCAGCATCAGCGGCAATAGCGATAGCAGCAGCGGTGGCGGTAGCAGCTTCGGTATTGGCAGCGGACGGGAAGGCGGGGAGATTCCCGAGTGGGCGCGGAGCGAGGTGTTGCGGTTTGAAGCCGCGCGCGCGCGCGAGCTGGGGGAGGCGGAGGATGAGGCGGAGCGGGCGAAGCGGGCGGAGAAGGCGGAGATGGCGCGCGCGCTGTGGGAGGAAACGGAGGCGCAGTTCGAAGGGCGGCTGCAGGAGTGGCGCAGGCAGAGCGCCAAGCGTCGGTTGGCGCTGCCACACGTTGTAGTTGCTCCCGTTGAAGCGCTGGGCTTCACTGAGCCCAATCGTCGGTTTCGCCACCAAACGGCCACTCGCAAGGGCCTCGAGAAGAGCCTTCAACTGCGGGTCTCCAAGACTCACACTGGAACCCGAATTCGCCTCGTCTCCCATGGCGTAGACGTGAACGACTCCTCTTCTCCACTAATTTCACTTAGCGCACCAAGTGAATTTACGACGACCGACGCGACCGTTCGCCAAGCTCTGATACCAGTTCTTAGGATCGTAAACACCTTAGACGGCAATAGTCTACTTGCTATTGCTTATCGTGTTCTCCACGATCTCACGAATCCAATGAGTTTCACCCCGAATCGCACACGGAACCGAACCGAATGCACCGAACACTCCTCAAGTCCGAATCTGGAACCTTCTCGAACACGCCTCGAGCTCGAACCACAATTTCCCCTCGTCAACTTCAATCTCGATACTTCTTCACTCTTCTTCCTCCATTTCTCTAGTTTCTTCCCGATTTCTCTCTCGCTTCTCACGCCGTATCTTCCATTCTCCACCGTAGGCCGATTTCCATCGTTTCACCTAGAATCATCCACGTGCTTCCATTTCGCCGTCATTCCGCCGTCGTAGAGACTTTCGCCGTAGGTTCCGTGGTTTGGGCGAACCAACCCTAACAGAAACGAGGCGCACGCGGTTACTTGGGAAACAAGTGAAGTTACCAATCGCATTTTGTGACTTGCCTGACTATAAACCTGTTTGTACTCATTCTGGAAATACAACATTGACAACATTGATCAGTTGGTGATTCTGAAAATTGCTGAAGTGTGTATTGACAACTTCAAGCAGAGCTGCGCATATCATTGGATTTGTGAGATCGTGGAGAACACGATAAGCAATAGCAAGTAGACTATTGCCGTCTAAGGTGTTTACGATCCTAAGAACTGGTATCAGAGCTTGGCGAACGGTCGTATCTCCCATGTGGGTCGTATCTCCCCTGTGGCTCGTCAACCACGAACTCTACTCGCACTCCTCCCCTGCTCCTGGTAGCCTTCACAAGGTCTAAGTCACCTTCACACTCCCCTGCAGCTCCTGCACCTTGAACCTCTGCTTACGTGTCTTGAAGTTGAGCGCCTTGACATCCAAACCTTGAGAGATTTTCTTAAGCCTCTCGCTTCTCCTCGGCATCTTAGCACCCAACACCTCTCAAGTCTCGTACCCCTCAACGTACTCCTCTTTCATAAGCACTCGCCCCTTTGCAGTTGCATTCGCCGTTGATCCCTTCACCATGATGCCCCCTTTCACAGCTTCAACTCCCACACACTTCGCATTTACTGCTTCATCTTTAATCACGACCGCTGCTGCAAAAGTGTTGACACCATCTTCATCTCCATCATTCACCGCTGCTCCCTCCATGGTGACTATCTCTTCTTCCTGCTTCACTGCTGCCTCCACACTCGCTCCCGTATCATCCGTGTCCTCGCTCTCATCAACCTCAGTAGACTCAGGATCCTCATAGATCTCATCCTTGTCGTTCATCGCTATCAAGTTCATCTCATAGAACCCGTCACTGAAGTATCCATCGGCATACTTCTCCCACTCAGGACCAAACACTGTAACCTCGCCTTTGTCATAAAATATCTTGCACCCCAAGTCATCAAGCTGTGACTGACTGACCAAGTTCACCTTCAAATCCGCAACCAGCAGCACATTCTCCAGTCTCATCTCTCCATACGGACTCTGCAGCACCACGTCACCCTCTCCTGTCACTGGTAACTTCCCACTGTTACCTTGCAGAATATAATCCTCACTCGACTCCCTCACATTCTCCATCCAATCTGACCTGAATGTCATGTGACGCGTGCATCCGCTGTCCATGAACCATGCCGTCTTCTCACGTCCGTCCGTCTGCCGAACCTCCTTTGGTAAACGCACCACGTTAGCACGATGCGCTCCTCCAAGGATCACATCATCCTCGTTCGCTTCCGCTACATTCGCCTTAGCCGCCACATTCCTCTGCTGCGACGGACCCTTGTAGCTCCTGCTGTTCGGATTGGAGTAGCACTCTGCGGCACGATGTCCGTAGCGCCGACAATAATCACACTTGCCGCCAAAACCTCGTTTCTGTTGCCACTCTGCTCCCCCATTTTCTCCTTTCTCGTTCTCCACCGCTTTGCCCTCGTAGTTTCTGCTTCGCGGATTTTCGTAGCAGTTTATCGCCTTATGCCCCCTCTTTCCACACTGGTAGCACGCTCCAAACGCCTTCGTCGCATTCACCATAGCCGGCCTCTCCTCGTCAAATTCAGTAGCTGCTACTGCCGCTTTCTTCTTCCTCGTCTCCTTCACCGTCTCAAGCGATTGCAGAATCTCCTGCAGCTTCATCAAACTCTCCGGCGGTTGGTACGTAAACATTCCAATGTCGGATTCCCATTCTTTAGGAAGGCCTTGGATGATATAGTCAATCATCTCGTGCTCCGTCTCCGCGGCTCCCATCACCCGCAAATCGTCGTTGTAGCTTTTCGCCCTGTTGATGTAGGTGATGATTTTCTCGCCTTTCTCCATGCTCAGCATCAGGAGTTGCTTCCGTATCGCCTTCTTGTTGACATCGTTCGTGCCCATGTACGTGGACTCCAAGTACTCCCACGCTCGCTGTGCAGAGTTCAGCTCCCCTGCAAACTGGTCCAAATCCACCGCGATTCCGTCGGCAACTGAGTGACAAAGCTGAAAGAACGCTTGCTTACTTTGTTTTTTGAACGCCGCTATTTTCTCCTTCGTATCCGTCGTGGAAGGCGCAACTTCCTCCATCGTCCCCTCGTCGGGACGGTAGTACGGCAAGAGGTCCACCTCCTCTGCCCTGCGAATGAACTTCTTCCGCCACACGTTGTAGTTGCTTCCGTTGAAGCGCTGGGCTTCACTGAGCCCGATCGTCGGTTTCGCCACCAATCGGCCACTCGCAAGGGCCTCGAGAAGAGCCTTCAACTGCGGGTCTCCAAGACTCACACTGGAACCCGAACTCGCCTCGTCTCCCATAGCGTAGGCGTGAACGACTCCTCTTCTCCACTAATTTCACTTAGCGCACCAAGTGAATTCACGACGATCGACGCGCCTGTTCGCCAAGCTCTGATACCAGTTCTTAAGATCGTAAACGCCTTAGTCGGCAATAGTCTACTTGCTATTGCTTATCGTGTTCTCCACGATCACCCGATTCCAATGATATGCGCAGCTCTGCTTGAAGTTGTCAATACACACTTCAGCAATTTTCAGAATCTCCAAGTTATTTTTTCCAGAATGAGTACAAACAGGTTTATAGTCAACCAAGGTACAAAATGCGCTTCGTAACTTCACTTGTTTCCCAAGTAACCCCGTGCGCCTCGTTTCACCCCGAGTCGCACACGGAACCGAACCGAATTCAGTGAACACTCCTCAAGTCCGAATCTGGAACCTTCTCGAACACGCCTCGAGCTCGAACCACAATTTCCCCCGTCGATCTCATTCTCGATACTTCTCTACTCTTCTCCTCCATTTCTCTAGTATCTTCCCAATCTCTCTCCCGCTTTTCACGCCGTAGCTTCCAATATCCACCGTAGGCCGAATTCCACCGTTTCATTCACGAATCATCTACGCGCTTCCATTTCGCCGTCATCCCGCCGTCGTAGAGACTTTCGCCGTAGGTTCCGTGGTTGGGCGAACCAACCCTAACAGAGCGGGCGAAGCGGGCGGAGAAGGCGGAGATGGCGCGCGCGCTGTGGGAGGAAACGGAGGCGCAGTTCGAAGGGCGGCTGCAGGAGTGGCGCAGGCAGAGCGCGCGCCTGCAGGGGGTGGCGCAGCGGAAGCGGGAGAAGCGCGCCAGGCGCGCCAGACGCCGGTGGGCGCGCGCGCAGGGAAAGGCGAAACGGGCGTACACACGGGCGGAGACGAGCAGCAGTGGCGTTTACGCTGTTAGCAGCGTTGGTGGTAGCGTTGGTGGTAGCAGCAGTAGCGATGGTGGTAACGATGGTGGTGATGGTGGTGATGGTTCTGCTGCAGTGCGAGTGGCGAGCCCGACAGACGAGGAGCTATTGGATTTCATGCCGGGAGGCACGCGCTCCTGGCAGAACCTTAAAGCCTCCACTACCCGCTCTTCCTCACCCTCTCCCTCCGCCTTCTCTGCCACCATCGCCTCCTCCTCTTCCGATTCCTCTTCCTCCTCCTCCTCGTCCAACTCTTCTTTGACTTCCTCCTCCGGTTCGGACAGCAAGAACGACACGGCCACCCCGACTCCGTGGGAGGAGAATCGGCCGGCGGGAGAGTCCCCATGCAGCCCCAGGAGCACCGCACCGGTGATCAACGTCACCACTCTGGACCACATTCTATCGCGCACGCAGTACCCGCCCACCCAGACCGTCACGCTGGTGCTGCAGGCGTCGATCACTCTCAACCACTCGCTGCTGCTCGACTCCAACTTCTCCTGCACCATCTTCCAGTCCGACTCGCTCCTCAGCGAATACGTTCTGGAGATTACTACTGACACGGAGCCCGTGCTTCAGGTGCGTTTCTGAGACGTGTACTGAAAATGTACTTAACTTCTCCTGCACCATCTTCCAGGCAGATACGCTTCCCAGCGTGCACGCTTTGGAGATCACCACTGATACAGAGCCCGTGCTGCAGGTGCGTTTCTGATCCTTCTTGATACTTGATTTTCCCTGCACTATCCTCCTATCAAACACACCATTACCACTAGCACCGAGCCTGCCATTTTTAGTCATCTAGATCACAACCCACCGACAATCACCGCTGACTGACGCTGAGCCTGTTGTGTGATGCAGGTGCACAATGCGAGCAACATGGTGTTCATTGGGATCGGTCTGAGGAGGCCGTTTTGATGTGCCTGTCCCTCGCCCTATATCCCCATTGGAACAAACCCTGCCCATGCTGCAGGTGCACAACGCGAGCAACATCGTGTTCATTGGGATCGGTCTGAGGAGTCCTGTCAGAAACGGATCAGCTTATTGCGAGTCGCTGCCCGAGTATGGCCACCTGCTGGGAGTCGACCTGCTGTGCCCCGCTCTGCTCATCTACAGGTGCGTTTTGGGTTCGCTTTCGGGTTGGTTCCGAAGTACGTTTCTTTGTGTAGCTCATTTCTAAGGGATTGTTGAATTCGGGCTGCAATGGTTGCCCTTCTGCTGATGGTTTCGTGACGGCATTCCAAAAAAGTGCTTGTTGTGCTTGCTAACTGGCCTGCTGTGCCTGTTGTTGCTGCTGCTGCTGCTGCTACTCCTCCCCTTGTTTGTGCTTGCCTTCCCTGCAGGTCGTACGGCATTCAGTTCACGCAGGCGTCAGTGGTGGGGCTCATAGCAGGTGCTAGACTCGCTCTTTCTTTTCTCACTATACCCGTCTCCTCTGCCTGTTGCTGCTGCTACACCTTGTTCTTCCCTTGCCTGCAGGTCGTACGGCATTCAGTTCACGCAGGCGTCAGTGGTGGGGTGGATAGATGTGTTCCGCTGCGCATACACGAAGCTCGACTCGCTCTTTGCCACGGCGCCGTGGGACTTCCAGTACCACCCGGGGGTCATCCGCATGGGCATGAGCGGCATGGGCGTCAACCTCACCTCCTCCGAGAATATCATCTCCAATAACGACCTCTTTGGCGCGTGGGAGCTCATCTATCTCTATCGCGGCACCATCGGCGCCACCGTTCGCAACAACTTCCTCCACGACTACCTCTTCTCAGGCTTCAGGTGCGGTCCCTGGTGTAATCAGAGCGGTGCAGCGTGGTGCCTGGCATGAACAGAATGGTGCAGACGGTGCATTGTTCCAAAAGACCCTCGAAGTCTCAAATCTGTCTCAAATTAGTGCTCCTCAGTCATCACTTGTGATTGGGACGGGTATGTGTGTTTAGCATTCGCAGTTGCTGTGCTGTGGCCATCCATCGGCTCACCTACTCTGCTCCGACTGCCCAAATGCCCCTACACACTCTTTTCCCCTCCCCGACGTGTGCAGGTGTGGTGCGGACGTGCATTTCGCGTGGGACTGTGCGCTGACGACAGTGAAGCACAACTTTGTGTTCTCCCCGCAGAAGAAGAACCTCACAGGCGACTCTGCTGGCATCTACTTCTGCACGCACTGGTTCAATCCCGGTGAGTTTCAGCCCTTCTTGATTCTTGATATTGGTTGATCTCCAGTGAGCCTCAGGTTCAGCCCCGGTGAGCCCTCGACCCCTAAAAGCCTGAGCCACACTTGAGACAGATTCAACTTCAGTCAGCTAATGTGACTGCCTTTGCCTTCCCTGTGCCTGCCTGCCTCATTCCTATCTCCCAACCGCATTCCACCGCACTCCACCCCACCCCACGCAGGCAACACGGTGAGCTGCAACTATGTGATAGGCGGGGACCACTGCTACTACCTGGACTACTGCACGTCAGGCGTGGCCATTCAGGGGGGCGTGTGCCTGCAGCTGTGGGACGGCGTGAAGCTCAACAACGGCAAGAGGAACCACATCCGCAGCCTGCTCATGGTGGGGCTGGGCCAGAGCCCCGGCTACATCACGTGTTTGACTGTCACGCTGAACCACTGCAGGAAGGACCCCGGGTCCTATTGGGAGGCCATGCGGAAGCTGTACTACGATACACCTGAGATTAATAAGGTGAGGGTTAATTACCCTGAAATGGCAGACTCCGTCCTTGTCTCACTACTCCACTGCAAAAACGTCTCCGCACCCTCTTTTTCCATCCCTCTCCACCCCTCTCCATTCCTCTCCATCCCTCCCCACCCATCTCCATTCCTCTCCACCCATCCCCACCCATCTCCATTCCTCTCCACTCCTTTCCAAATTTCTCCACTTCTCTCCACCCCTCTTCTCTCTCCACCCCTCTCCACTCCTCTGCACCCCTCTCCAAACCCCCATTCCCCATTCCTCCTACCAGGAATGGCCGTGGATGAAGCATGTGTGTCGGCAGACGCGCATCGGCGCGTACAGCTGCAACCCGCACGGCGAGCTCTCGGCACACGAAACCGGCGCGTGCAGCGGGCTCGCGACGGAGAACGACGTCGAATACATCGTCGTCGATTCGGACACGCCGCGCGACGCGGAATATCGCTACTGCGAGCGCAGCCCGGGAACGAAGAATCTGAACCGCCAGGTTGTCTACAGGTACAATGGCGACGAAATGAAATTCGCGGATTATAAAAATGAGGATTTCGCAGTTTCGGAGGGGTCGGTGGTACTCGCGAATCACACGGATTTTGTCTCCTGCCCGAGAGAAGATATCGGGATAAAGGCGGTTTCGATACACTCGTATTACAAGGATTGGAATATTCCGGAGCCGCCGTTTTTCCAGGCTATGGTGGACCTGCCTTATGAAGTGGTGTTTAATAATGATATTTTGTGAGGTTCAGGTTAAGATTTCAGGTCTCTAGTGTGCAGAGGAATAAATCATGGCACCGGGTTGGCTTATGGTATTCTTGTTTTGTCTTGCACAATAAAGTGCCATGAATTCTTCATTTTCCAAGGTCTTGTACCCCCAAATATTGCACATTCAACTACATTAGGCACCCTATGACATCGAAATCATGCTACTACTCTGCTTTTGTATGCAATTAAACAGCAACCTGCAGAGCTCCTCGTCGTATGTGGGGTGGTGATGATGACAGCATTGCTCAGCAATGCTGCATCATCCACCACCGGAGCATCTCACATGGCTACCACTCCTCTTCACCGAAGTCCATGGCTCTGATTCTCCTACCACTGCTGCTGGTGATGATGCTGCAGATGATATTAAGAGTGTCTCACACCTACCACTCCTCTTCTCCAAAGTCCATCGCCCTTATTCTCCTACCCCCTCTCGACCTCCCCCCACCAGCCATTGCTGACGATAACGCCGAACCATCCTCAATTCCCCCCAGCCCCGGTGGCAGCGGCGGGGGAGACGACGGGCGGTGGTGCTGCAAGTGCAGTGCGCCGATGCGGGGAGAGAACAAACCAGAAGGACTCAAATCATCAGCACCACCACCAGCACCAGCAGCACCACCACCAGCAGCGGCGACTGCAGCAACGGCAGCGGCAGCGGAGGAAGGGCTAAGGTCAGAGTCAGCAGCGAGGGCAGTGAGGGGTTGTCGCTCCGAGGCCGTGGTGGGGCCGTGGGAGTGGATGGTCGCAAACTCCTGCCAGTGCAGATGCTGCTCCGTCTGCCTCCACTTGTGCATGGCGTAGAGCGTCCACACAGCCATGGGGAGAACCGCAATGGTGATGATGACAGCTAAGAACAGGAGATCTGCAGGAGAAAGGGGCCGGGGTTTACAGAGAGGGAAAGGGATGGTTGATCAGAGTCAAGAGCAACAGCGTGAAGAGCAGTGGACGCAGTGAGGGGTTGTGTTTCGGAGGCTGTGGTGGGGCTGTGGGAGTGGATGGTGGCAAACTCCTGCCAGTGCAGATGCTGCTCCGTCTGCCTCCACTTGTGCATGGCGTAGACCACCCACACAGCCATGGGAAGGACAGCGTTGTGACAATGACAGCAAGGAGTAGGAGGTCTGGGGGGGAGGGGGGGAGGAAGGGGGGTGAGGAGAAGCCAAGCGATGGATGGATAAGTCAAGCTCCTGACCATGGCTGTCAGTCCAGGCCGGGCAATGGGGATGGAAGGGCTGGTGTTCAATGGAACACCATGTAGGTGCCATCGTTCAATACGTGGCAGCAATTGTTGGTAAAGAACACCTTGGTGGTAGTTTCTTCGAGTGCTTGTTTGAAAACTCTAGTGTAAAAAAATCGTTGGTAATCAGTTTCGGCGTATGAGCCTTCTTCAGACCACAAAGAGCCCTAAATGAGAACGAGCATTACTTATAGCCTTGAGAATCTTAACTAGGAACTAAGCTTACGCGGGAACGTCTTCGCGGAGGAATTGGGGACGATGGAAAGGTGAAATAAGAGGAAACCGTAAAAAATTATTGTACCCTAACACTTGTTTGCAAAAATTATATAATTTCCAACTCTCTTTAGTAGCCTCCATGCCATAAAAGCTCTTCTTGCAGAAAAAGTGCCATGTGCCATTGTAACGAGGTGAATTTTGAGTCAATAAAAAATTCACCTCCCTAAAAATACCTTGTTTCTCCTTCAGTGTGCCCATGAACACCGAAACGATTTTCAAAGCTGTTCTTCTTAAGGTCATTAATGGTGCCATTCATCCCGCTCTCAGCCAGAAAGCTGGCAACCTTGGTAAGCCGGTGCTTACATTCTTCATGACGTTTCTCGGCGTGCCGGCGGAAACGCTGACAAGACGTGAGGACGCAAGGAAGCTGGTGGAGGAGATGTTGTGCCTCTTCACCTCAGCGCACAGCAAGGCCAGCGATACCAAAGTGTTGTCGGAGGTAGCCACCCCGCTCCTAATCCGCTCCCCGTGTAATGCTCGCTCAGTCGTTTGCGATGTTGTTCTGAGCGCTTGATTTACTCATAGGTGCTCATCGCGCTGCCCACCAACTTCGATCTGTCGAAGGACTTCGTCCAGATCGAAGTTGGCGATGAGCACCTATGAGTAAATCAAGTGCTGAAAACTACACCTCAAACGACGGAGCGAGCATAACACAGGGAGCGGAACGGGAGCGGGGTTGCTACGTCTGACAACACTTTGGTAACGTTGACCTTGCTGCGAGGAACGCCATGAAGAATGTGAGCACCGACTTACCATAGCTGCCGACTTTTTGGCTGAGAGCGGGTTAAGTGGCTGCACCAGTGACTTCAAAAAGAACAGCCCAAAATTTGTTTCGATGTTCACAGGCATACTGGAAGAGAAGCAATGTATTTTTAGGGAGGCCACTTTTGTGTCGACTCAAAAGGAGCACAGCAATGGTGACAATGACGGCAAGGAGTAGGAGGTCTGGGAGGGTGGGGGAGGAAGGGTGGGCCAAGGGATGGATGGATAAGGCAAGTTCCTGGCCATGGCTATCAGTCCAAGCCTGGCCATGGGGATGGAAGGGCTGGTGTTGCAGTGCTCCCCGTGGCTGTCAGTCCAAGCCACCAATCACCCATCCCCGCCCTCCACCTGTCCTTCCGTCCACCCCTTTAATCCTCGATGCAACCATCCCTCCCCCACTCACCTGCCAGGCCTCGTTTTCTTGGTGCCGCCACCAACGCACCCAGCACTCCTGATGCTGCTGCCAGGCAGTCCCGAGACCCTGAGGTGAGTTTTACGGGTGGGATGGGGAGGGGAGGGGGAAGAGGGGGAGTTTGAGTGAGGCGTGGAGTAGGGCGACAAACACCAACACACCCAGCACTCCCGATGCTGCTGCCAGGCAGTCCCGAGACCCTGGGGAGTGTTTTGTGGTGGGGGGAGAGGGGCACGGTCTGATCGAGTTAAGGTTGGAGCGGAGCGAGAAAGCAGGGCATAAAGACGCCCATCACTCCTGATGCAGCCGCTGACAGTCTCGAAAACCTACCTGGGTGGGCGGGAAAGGGCGCGATTGAGTGAGTGATTGATGAGGGATGTAGTAGTAGGTAGGGTGGCAAACGCAAACACAGGAGACGTGTGAGTGGGAGTGAGTGTCTTGCTGGAGAGAGAAGGGTGGAAGTTGACAGGAGTATGAGGGCAATGTGATGCTCCTTCGAAGGTTGACACACGAGGGTGGCTACTGTTAAAGGTTAAGACGTTTGTCACACCCTAACCCCTGAAGGATGGTTCAAAAACGCATAAGAAGGCTGCTCACGAAGGAATTGAGGTCATCATAATCAGGATGTATGTTTTAGGGTTTATGGGGATTTTAAAAGAAATACTTACGAAGGTACTTAAGGGCGGTGGCAGGGAAGTCCGAGAAGAGCCCATCCACTCCCACCCCTTCCACAAACATGGCGTACTCGTTTAAAGGGTCCTGAGGAGAGAGAGAGAGGAGAGATGGAATGACAAGAGGGGAGAGGAGAGATGGGATGACACGAGGGGAAAGAAGTGGGCTGAAGGGAGGAATGGGAGATTCCACACACTCCCACCGCCTACACAAACGTGGCGTGCTCGTTCAGAGGTTCCTGATGTGAGGGGTGAGTTGGATGGCATGAGTGGATGGAAGGAAAGATGAAGGGAGGAAAGATGAAGAAAGGGATTGAAAAGTCCATCCACTCCCACCAAGTGAAATAACATGGTACACTTGTTCCGAAGGGCCTGGGGAGAGGGGTGATGGAAGGAGGGATGATGGAAGGAGGGATGAAGGGAGGAGGCATGAAGTAAGGATAGGAGAGTCCATTCCCTACATCACCTGTAGAGAAAGAGAGGAGCACTTACAAGTTCATAAGCTTTGGAGTGCGGGGGAGGAAGGGAGCACTCACGAGCTCATAGGCTACAAGAAGAGAGGAGGGAGGAAAGGGAGCAGCACTCACCAGTTCATAGCTCAGGGAGAGGAAGATCCAGTCGTTTGCAAAAGGCCAGGGTAGCACGGCGAGCTGGCGGGCTGGGTGGTGGGCAAGCGACACCAAATCCGTCTGGTTGAGCAGCTTCTTGTGCCACGACTCCACCGGCAGCACCAGGTGCTTCTCTGGTGCGACGGCCACAGCATAGAGTGATATGGCGTCCAGCATGCAGGCTCGGAGAGGGGTGGTGGGCGGGCAGGAGGGGGGAGGGGCCTGCAGGATAGGGTTGGTGTCGGATGGCTGGGGATAACAAGGGGGTGAGAGGGAGGGGGGGGGGGGGGGGAGGAACAGGGATGAGGGTAGAGCAGGAGATGGTTTGAATCTTAAGGGAACAAGGGGCCTGGTCTGGTTGCAAAGGTGCTTGTACCACAACTCCACAGGTGGTTTGACATGTCAGATCACAGCACAAGATGACTTTTGAGTCGACTTACAAGTCAGCTTGTATCACGATTCCACAGGTGGTTTGACATGTAATATCACAGAACAAGATTTCACCTCTCCTCGGCCCATCCCACCCCTCACCTCACTCCTCCCCATAAACCTCTGCACCTCATCCCACAACCACATCCCAATCCTCCTCATCCCACCCCTCCTCACCCCATCCCACCCCTCCTCACCTCGTCCCACCCCTCCTCACCCCGTCCCACCCCGCCTCCAGGATCTGCACGAGGGGAATGGAGGTGCGTTGGCTGCAGTAGACCAGGGCAGCGAAGCTCCTCGCCTCTATCACCACCAAATGCACTGCCGTCCATTCAACCCCCTCACCCCACCCCATCCGCACCTCCTCACCCCGTCCCACCCCTCCTCACCCCATCCCACCCCTCCTCACCTCGTCCCACCCCTCCTCCAAAATTTGAACGAGGGGAATGGAGGTACGTTGGCTGCAGTAGACCAGGGCAGCGGCGCTCCTCGCCTCTATCACCACCGGATGCACTGCCGGGTCCAGCACAATCCGCCCCCCGGCCGTAGCAGCACCAGCTGCAGGAGCATTGTCAGTAGAGATGGTGGAGGTGCTGATGCTAGCAAGGCGGTCACTAAGAGAGGCAGTGGGGGCGGAGGAAGCGGTGAGGGTGTTGAAGGGGTTGGAAGGGCGGGGAGGTGGCTGCAGGTTGTTCATGCTGAGGAGAGTGAGGAGTGACTCGAGCAGAGGGCAACCGATGGACTCGTGGAATTCAGGGAACTGCGAAATATGGGAGGAAAAAGGCAAGGGAAGCGGTGAGGGTGTTGAAGGGGTTGGAACTTGGAAGGGTGGAGAGGTCGCTGCAGGTTGTTGGAATTCGGGGTACTGGGGGTGGGTTGCAGGGGCGAAAAAGGAAAGGGGTTGATTGAGTCAGCATGATGGTATGCAGGTTGTTGATGCTGGGGAGAGTGAGGAGTGACTCGAGTAATGGGCTGGGCACCCGATGGACTCGTGGACGAGGTGACTTTTGAGTCGACTCAAAAGTCACCTCGAGTAAAGGGCACCCGACGGACTCGTGGACAGTGGAATTCAGGGTACTGGAGGTGAGTAGCAGGGACAAGGACGGAAAGGGAGGATAGAGTAAGGATTGAGTTTTGGAGTGTTGATTTTTGATTCAGATTACGAGCACTCGTCTTCCATCTCCTCCCTTCACTACTCCCTTCATTCCTCTCTCCCCTCCTCGCCACTCACTCTGGGTTCCAGCATCAGCCCCGCTCCCACTCGCTCACTCCACTTTCACTCCTCCCCTCCCCACCACTCACTCTGGGTTCCAGCATCAGCCCCACGGGTTGGTTGCCTCTAGCAGCGAGCAGCTCGGGGCTCTGATTGGCGGAGAGCACGATAGAGAGAGCAGCAGAGACCAAGGAGTGGGGATAGCCGGATAGGCTCTGACCACACAAAGCATGCCCTTTCTTCACTCCCGCACACCTCCTTACGTTCCTCCCTTCACTCCTCCCTCTGCTCCCCACCACTCACTCTGGGTTCCAGCATCAGCCCCACGGGTTGGTTGCCTCTAGCAGCCAGCAGCTCAGGGCTCTCATTGGCGGAGAGCACACGTTTTTGTTTACTCACTCTGGGTTCCAGCATCAGCCCCACGGGTCGGTTGCCTCTAGCAGCGAGCAGCTCGGGGCTCTCATTGGTGGAGAGCACGAGGGCCAGCACAGAAGAGAGCATGGAGTGGGGATGGGCAGACGGGTTGTTGTGACAGCAACTCAGAGCACACCGTTTATTCACTCGCTCACTCCTCCCTGCATTCCTTCTTCAACTACTCACCCCTCCCATCATTTCCTTTCACTCCACTCCTATCCACTCACTCTGGGTTCCAGCATCAGCCCCACGGGTCGGTTGCCTCTAGCAGCGAGCAGCTCGGCGTTTTGATTGGAGGAGAGCACGAGGGCGAGCACAGCGGAGAGCGAGGGGATGGATAAACGGCCGTGAAGGGTCTTGTCCCGCCACTGGTATCGCTGCTCCACTGCTCTGCAGGGAAGGGATGGGGGAGGGAGGAGGGGAGAATCATGGGTACTTGCAAATTCATGCAGGCATGTGTATTGGTGGGTGTCCTGTGAATGTGCCAAACCCACCATTATGTACCCAAAACACTGCGATGTGGCAATAGCACAATTATGTACCCACAATTTTGAACCAAATATACCGCTACCGCTACGTGCCAACCAACCCCACCTCTGAGAATCTGAATCTGCTCGAAGGTGAAGTTGAAGGCGAAGAATCCCTCCACCTCCTGGCCCTCTATGACCGCCGTTGACCTGAGTTGACTCAGCTCCGGGTGGTGCGCCACGTTCGTCACGAGGGTCAAATCTAGGTCGTTCCAGCAGATCAGCTCCGAGTCTACCGTGCTGGTCAGTAGGAGAAAGGTGAGGTGGGAGGGGGGGTGGGGGCATGGGGGAAACCAGGAGGCAGAGAGTGAAGGGCGCGCAGAGGCATCGGGTGATTGGGGTGGTGCGCCATGTTCGTCATGAGCGTCAGATCCAAGCCGTTCCAGCAGATGAGCTCCAAATCTGCCGTGCTGGGAAATTCTAAGGGTGGGAAGAGAGGGGCGGGAGAATGGGGGAGATGAGTAGATGGGAGTTGGCAAGAAGACGATGAGATCTCGGCGGGCGCCACGTTTGTCACGAGCTTCATATCCAGGTCGATCCAGCAGATCAGCTCAGAGTCTGCCGTGCTGGTCACCAAAAGATGGGGAGGAGACAGGGGAGATGAATAAATGGGAGTTGGCAAGAAGAGAGGGAGCTCTGGATGGTGCGCCACGTTTGTCACCAGCGTATATCCAGGTCGTTCCAGCAGATTAGCTCCGTGCTTGTCAATGGGAGTGGTGGGGGCATGGGGGAACTACGAAGCAGAGAGTGAAGGGTACATGGGAACCTTGCATACAACCTTGCACAACCTCGCATGCAAACGTGCATACAGCCTTGCATTCGATGCCCTATCCCACCATTACCATAGTCGAACCACCCCTGCTCATCAGATCACATCACAACGCACTCTCCCTATAACACAATGATGTTCCTATCAAAGTTCCACCCACCCCGCCATTGTCACACCTCCAACTCACCAGATGACATTGCACTCCACATAGTCCGCCCCATCGGCTGTGACGTTGCTGCCATATCCCACCCACTATAGTCACACCCCCTCTCACCAGATGACGTTGCATTCCACATAGTCCGCCCCGTCAGCAATGGCCCTCTCGTATCCCTCCAACGTGCTCTCAGGCATGGGGCCCATGGCGCCCCTCCTGCCAATCACAATGGGGTGAGAGGAGCCTGGAAGAGGGTGGAGGGGGGGAGACGTGGGGAAGGGAAGGGGAGGGGGTGGGGGTGGGCGGGGGTGGGGTGCTTTCAGGCATGGGTCCCTTGGCGCCCCTCCTGCCAATCACGATGGGGCGAGTGGAGGCTGCAAGAGGGTGGAGGGGCGGGGGGAGTGGATGGGCGGGGGGCGGGGGTGGGGTGATCTCAGGCATGGGGCCCATGGCGCCCCTCCTGCCGATCACGATGGGCCGACTGGACGCTGCGAAAGGGCGGAAGGGGGAAGACGTGGGGAAGGGAGGGGGAGCGGAAGGGGAGTGGAGTGCTCTCAGATGTAGGACCCACGGCTCCCCGCGTGTGGATCACGATGGGGCGAGTGGAGGCTGCAAGGGATGAGGTTTCATCTGTTGGAGTGTTGAGTGGGGGAGGAGAAGGAAGAGTGAGGAGGCTCGTTCCATTCTCCTGACACGGTGGGACGACCGGACGCTGCTAAGAGGGAAGGGGTGAAGTGGGGGGGTTGGGGGTAAGAGAGGAGAGGGAGGAAAAAGGAGAGAGGGAGGGAAAAATCGGGGGGAGAGGAGGGAGGGATTGTCAGGGGAAGGAAAAGGAGAAGGTGATGGAGGAGGAGACTCGATACGAGTTCGTACCACTTGCACGCGGCGGACCCAGGGGCATGCAGGCACGTTGGCCACGGACACGATCGCACGCACCCTCACAACCATGGCAAACACACGGCAGCCACAGGCTACCATGCGGTCGGAGCAGCACTAGCATGCGGTCCGAGCAGCACCAGCATAAGATGCGGTCCGCGTGGGAGAAACATGCGGTCAGTGTAGCACTAAGATGCGGCCCGAGCAGCAGTGAGATGCGGTCTGAGGAGCACTCGCGACAGAAACTCGTATCTGACACCCTTATTCCGCCATGTAACTGCGAGCAATCTTTAAGACGCCTCACAACGCGTACCTGACACTCTTACTCCGCCATGCGACAGTGCGAACAGCAGCAGAGGCAGAAGCGCCAGACGCACGGGCGAAGAGCGGCCCATTGCGAACAATGCTGCGATGTACACTAACCAATTCCCTAACGAAAAAATGCGCGAAGTACAGGCATGGTAACGGAAACGGAATCGCGAGCCGCTTTCGTCTGACCAAACAACTTCGATCTTCCAAGTAACACTATATCATACTGCCTCGAAGCACTTCTTCCTACACGCTAAGGTTATCTTATTGTCAAGACCGAGCGAATAAGTCCAGCAGAGCTAATGGTTCGGAACAATGAGCTAAGGCTAACATGCAGCCCTGTAAGAAACTAAGCTGAACGGGACTGAGGATGAATGGACCGGTTATGAACGGAATTATACGGGCTACGACATAGTCGGCTGAATCATGTCAGGGCTCGGTCGTTATCATCTCAGTTGCTGCTGTAAGGACTACCTCGCGTTTCCATCTCACCAATACGCCAGCAAGCCTAGAAATAGGAGGCCGACGGTCGCCTCAGGGAGTGGCAGGAAAGAGGCTGTCTGCTCGACAAAATGCAGCACATTGGTAGGTGCAGGCTCGTGGCACGAAAACCTTTCGTCAGGCACGAAAGCTTTTTGTCAGAGCCTCACGAAATGTTACCCGTTGTAGTCGATCCATGAAAAAGGCATCCCTGTCTGTTGTTGAGATGAGTGTGGAGTTGGACGGATCTGGCGGAGTGGAAGCGCGTCACACCCGATGACAAACGAAAGCAGCCAATCATGAAGCACCTTGGGGCTGCCCATTGTTCGAGGGCGACCTCTTTCTTCAATCTTGACGAACGTCGCCAAGGAAATTTCAGGTTTCGACGACCGTGGTTACTGGCTTGAATTTCAGTATTTTTAGCAAAAGCGCCAGCCCACGTCCTCAAGATTTGCTTCCTACTGCCCTCCTCCCACCACCAATTTCAAACCACCCCAGGCCTTCACTCCTCTCCATCCCACTCCAAAGCACTCCAGCCCACTCCAACTCACTCCACCCCTCCTCTTTTCCACTCCACTTAAATTTGCTCCACTTCGCTCCACTCCACCCCACTCCGCTCCACCTGCCACAGCTTGCCTTCCTCGTCCGTCAGGAATGACTGGAGCACCAACCGCACACCACCACTGCTGCTCTGGTGGGTTGCATCGCAGGCGTTTCGCCTTCCCGCTTTCGGAGCCCATGCCAGCTTTAGGAGTTATAGATTGTAACTCTCAACCCGTGGTCTGTCTGGGTTTCAGATTCCGATCCAGTCACCGCTGCTCGTCATCCCAAATGGCGGCTTCCGCTCCTCCCGCGCGGTCCCCTGTTTTCTCCCAAATCAACAGTTCCCAGTCCGCTGGCTCGCCACGTCGTGTCGCTTTCACGACAGTGCAAATCGCATCGCGTCGTGGCATCATTGAAGGTACCGGAGCGGCTCGTGATGCTCCTAAACAAATGAAGATAGTAAAGCGTAGAGCTCGAAAAAGAACGAACCGCGGGGTGCGCAACGAGAACGGCGGAGGAAGCAGACGCACACATGGCGGGGAAGGCGGAGGCGGGATAAGCGGAGGCGGAACAAGCGGATCGGAAAGTGGGGGAGGACCAAGTGGGCGGGAAGAAGACTCTGGAAGGGGTGGGGAGAGGGGAGATGATGATGGTGGCGATGGGGCCAACAGCAGGTCCGGGGGAACAGGGGGCGGAAGCGGCTCCGGCGGACGTGGTTCAAGCGGATGGGGAGAGGAGGGCAGAGGCGAAGGCGGAGGGAGGCCAAATCGGTTTACCACCGGCGCGCTTCTCCCGCTCGTCGACCATTTCCAGGCACGCGTCAGCCGCGCGTGGCAGATCCGCGCCCCCCCCGTTGCCTCCGCGCTTCTGCAGTCCGCCGCGCGCCTTCCGCCGTTGCTCCGCACGTCCGCGACGTCAGGCGCGCTGCTGGCGGGCGGGGACGTGTGCGCGCAGTGCATCGAGCTCTCGTCAGCTGGAGACGCAGCGCAGATCCGCGACGCGTGTGGAGAAGCAGCGCAGCCAAGCGACACCCGCGGTGACGCGGATCAGGCAAGCGACGCGCGCGGCGACGAAGCGAATACACTCAGCTACAGCAGCAGCGCCATATCAAGAGACGGCTCTGGCAACGCGGCAGCAGGACCGGCAGCAGCGTTCAACGTGGCGAGATCCCTGCGAATGGTGGTGTACGGCGCGTGCATATACGGACCCGCGCTGCACGTGTGGTATCCCCTGGTGGAGAGGGCAGCGCCAGGGAGAAGCTTGGGCGCGACTGTTGGGAAGGTGCTGGCGTCTCAGGCTCTGCTGAATCCGTGCCTGATTGCTGCTGTGTTTGCGTTCAACTATGCCTGGACGGGTCAGCTGCATGCACTCAAAGGTGTGTCATGTGTTACTTTTGAGAATCCTCAAAAGCAACACCAACATGACGTCTCAGGCTCTGCTGAATCCGTGCCTGATTCCTGCCGTGTTTGCGTTTAACTATGCGTGGACAGGCCAGATGCATGCACCGAAAGGTGCGTCACGTGTCATCAGACTCCTCACTTGTTATGTTTGTTTACCAATGCGAGCACCTTCCAGCTTCCAGCACTCACCGGATTGATTCTCTGCTCCACTCCAGGATCAGCCGTCTTTTCGACTTCCATCCATCCCCTGTTCCCTTCTCCTGCCCTCATCCCTGGAGTTCTTTCTTCCATTCCCGCATTTCCATCCCGCAGAACGCATCCTTGCCCCAATTCCCTACTCATGTCGCCCCTCACCCATGCACCTACGCCCTGTCACCTGCACCCTAACCTCAAGCAAACTGTCCTCACCCCTGCAGACAAATACCGGCAGGACTTCCTGCGAACGTGGCGGCGCGGGTGGCACTTCTGGCTGCCGGCCAGCTTCGCTTCGTTCCGCCTGGTGCCGCTGCACCTGCGCCCCGCCTTCTCCTCCGCCTGCTCGCTGCTCTGGAACTGTCACCTCTCCATGGTCACCATGCACCAGGTGTGTGCAGGGGAAAGGTTGAACGTCTTGTGTCATATCTGTATGTGCTCCTGTTCCTGGTGTCATATCTGTATGTGCTCTTGTTCCTTGTACGGTGGTCTGGAACTGCTCGCTTCTCTCGAACTGCCACCTCTCCATGGTCACCATGCACCAGGTGTGTGCAGGGGAAAGGTTGAGCGTCTTGTGTCATATCTGTATGTGCTCCTGTTCCTGGTGTCATATCTGTATGTGCTCTTGTTCCTTGTACCGTGGTCTGGAACTGCTCGCTTCTCTCGAACTGCCACCTCTCCATGGTCACCATGCACCAGGTGTGTGCAGGGGAAAGGTTGAACGTCTTGTGTCATATCTGTATGGGCTCCTGTTCCTGGTGTCATATCTGTATGTGCTCTTGTTCCTTGTACCGTGGTCTGGAACTGCTCGCTTCTCTCGAACTGCCACCTCTCCATGGTCACCATGCACCAGGTGCGTGCAGGGGAAAGGAAAATATTGGGGGGGATGTGCGAAATGAAAGTGCTCTTGTTCCTTTGTACCATGGCCTGGAACTGCTCGTTGCTCTGGAACTGCCACCTCTCCATGGTCACCATGCACCAGGTGCGCCTCACCCTGTTGTATTCTGAGTCGACCTAAAATCCACCATGCACCAGGTGCATGCAGGCCGAAGGATTGCAATCGAGGGAGATGTGCGAGATCAAACTTCCTCTCCTTAGTCGCATATGCATTGAGCGAAAGCAGGAGAGTTGAGAATGATGTAAGACTTCATAGCTCTTCTCTGTAATCATAAGTATGTGCTTCTGCTCTTTTGCACCCATCTCATTCCTCGCCCTTGGCAAGGTTGACAGCCACAATAAAAGGGACGGGGCCGTCATTACCGCCGTAGACACCAACAAGTGATGCACCCATTCTGTGTTGACAAGATTATGATGTGGCGTTCATGTCCAGTATCGGACTATTCGGCTTATAATTTCAAAGAATCATGATTTGTTCATATTTGATAGACGATTAGATATAGGTTATGGAGTACACGGATGATTGCGAAGTGTGCTTTCTGTCTACAGCGCGTAACGCGCGACGACCTGACCATAGAAACTCCCGAACTTTCCCTCTCACCTGACACGCTCCATACAATCACAGCAGAAAGAACCGTTGCTGGCTGGTCCCGCGGGTCCAGGAGGTCGAATCACGAATCAGGATCTGTGCTTGACTCGAGAATTTCGTCATGATCATAACGGAATTCTAGGTTGCCATTGCCATCCCTCCCTCCCACCTCTAGGTTGCCAATGTGTGCTTATTATTCCACCCCAACTTTGCACAAAACTTTATTATGTAGGAGGTAATTTTACGCCTAGTTCGTCGTTCGTCTCTGTATTTTCACCGTCTGAATTTGGCGGGCCAGTCCTCCCTAAGTGGTTTTTTCGTCGCCACGATTTGTTAAAAGGCGAGCCGCGGGTCCTGTAAAGTGGGTCATCGCAGATTCGTACCTGAAGCTGGATGAGAAGGTCTCAACCCTTTTTGGAGGAGCGAAAACAATCTGAGAAGCCACGAAAAGAGTCACTTATGAGCACGAGGACTGAAGCCGCCACAGACTATTAGACAATATAGTACAGGTTCCCTGACATAGAATATATAGTCTGACTGAGATCGATTGACATCTGATGGGTGTGATTATATCGAAGTTGCTGAGCTCACTGTTCGGCGAGAGAGAAGCAAGAATTCTCGTTCTGGGCCTCGACAATGCCGGCAAAACCACCATCCTATGTACGTCAGGTGGACGTTGGCTTCCACTTTAGCGCTAGATTAGAACCTGGAAATTAGTTAGTTAGGTACTAGTCGTAGTGTTGCGATCTAGTAATAGTATATTCGTTTGTTCGGTAAATGTTCCGATCGAGCACTACTGCGGCTTCTTGACGCGGAGGAGTCGAAATTACATATCAGCAGGAGGAGTTTACCTGCCGGCCGACATCAAATACTAGGAGTTGCCGTACAACCTCTTGGATAGTGTAGTCGGTGGCGACAAGGGATTTCTTTGACGCGTCTTGAAGGATCCTTCATATATGAAAAAACAAAATTCAGCCGAATGGGTGCCGCGGTGTCGACTAGTGGTTCGCAACGAGCTGCGACTGCTTCGCGAATGTCGTTTCTGGTCCTATGCGCGTTCGTCTTGTGTCTTTCATTGATTTCATGTGCTTTGCCCTCAGCGTTGTCATCTTGCCTTTGACCCCCCCTCTCTGCCGCAGATCGGTTGCAGGTCGGCGAGGTGGTCTCGACAATTCCAAGTAAGATAATTGTTTGACTTATTGTTCTGCTATGACGTTGCCAATTGCTGTTTGAATAACTTTTATCAAACTAGTCAGAATGGCGACACTTAAATCACGGTGTCAGGATTGGGGCGTCGATCATAGGGTTCGAACTGGGTTCAAGCTTGAACTCTGAGTCGTTCACAACGAGTGGGTTTCAGTAAATAATTCGTGTAGTGCAGTGTGTGGTCGTGGTGCGAAGTGGAGCTTTCCGAGGTCCTATTATTCACACCTTTTCGTTTTCGTTTTCGTTTTCGTTTTCGTTTTTGTTTTTGTTTTTGTTCTGTGGTTTTGAAACTGTGCTGCAGCTATCGGATTTAATGTGGAGACGGTTCAATACAAGAACATCAAGTTCCAAGTCTGGGATCTAGGTAAGGCTCAATCACCTCTTCCATTTGTCCCTGGCTCCTTCTTTTCCGCCCCAACTCCCACCCCACCTCTCACCCCAACCCCCACCTCTCCCCCAACCCCTACCCCTCTTCGCACCCCACCGCCCACCCTTACTGACAATTTTGTTCTTCAACTTTGTTGGTGCTTGTCTTTCCCACTGTGCTACCACGTTTACCCGGGCCATTCTCCACTACCATATACCACCGCCTTTGCCAGGCCACTACGTTTTCTGCACTCGTCGACCCAGTCCCATCCATTTCCTATGCTGCTCCACCTTAAGTGGTGACTTGTCCCGCCCTTTTTAACGTTTCTTTCCTTCTTTTCCCCCCTTTTCTCTTATCCAAACCCGCTGACTGCCTCATTTGGCGCTCCTCTGTGCAGGTGGACAAACAAGTATCAGGTGCGTGATTGCTCCATTGTTGAGCATTTTCTTGACTCTTGAGCGCTTGCTTCGTTATCGAGGGATTTTGTGGCTTTGCCACCACTTGGTCTCGTAGCTGGCTCCTTCTAGACCTCGATTTATTCGTGGCGCTTTTTTTAGCTGCAGCGTTTTTTCAGTTCGACCCCCTTCCTTCGCCTTTCCTTTCCCTTTCCCTATCCTCACCCTCCCTCTTTCCATCCCCTTCACTTCCCTCTTCGTCCCCTTACTTTCCCCAATGCACCCTGCCCCTTCTCTCGCACCATCGTACTGGTGTTGTTACTTCCCCAACACTCAACTCGTCACCTTTCTCTTCTCCCCCCTCCTCTCCTTACTGTGCTCTTACCATAATTTCCGCTCGTGTGCGCCCAACAGACCGTACTGGCGGTGTTACTACCCCAACACACAAGCCGTCATATATGTTGTCGACTCCACAGACGTGGACAGAATGGGCACGTCCAAGGAGGAATTTCACGCCATACTCGATGTGAGTGTGCTATCAGGGGTGCACTTTAGGAGTTGTCGATCCCTATTACTCGATGTGAGTGCGTCAAGTAACTTGATGTGGGTGCTCGTACGATCTCTAAGACGCCTCAAATTCCCTAAAGGGGGGATTTCACGCCATTCTGGATGCGAGTGATGTTTCCATAATAGTGGTGCATGGAACACAAGTGCACGTGGAACACAAATGGTGCGAGTGAAGGTGTTGTATTTTGTCGCCACACTCCCCCGTGTGGACTGAACCATGTGGTATTGCAACGAGCAGTGATTGTGTCTAAGTTTGGGGGATCAGGCTGTCTGCCTGGTCAACCTTTCAATTTCTTTTGAGATCCAAAAAGAAAAGGCAGCCTTCAATCGAGCCTGTCGCTTCCATCGATGTCCTCGTCCTCTTCATGCCCCCTGAGTGTTCTCACAACCTATACTTCTGTTGTATCTTCTCCTGCCCCTTCTGGCGATGCTTTTCCAGGAGGAGGAGTTGAAGGAAGCAGTGGTGCTGGTGTATGCCAACAAACAGGTGAAATATGGGGTCTTTGTCTTACTCGTACCCAGATGCATCCATCCACTTTCTTGAGCTGCATGACTGTTGCTCAGACTCCATCATCATGCCACTTTAACACCCCATACCATCTCACATCCCCACCATGTGGTTTTCACAACTTTTTTCTTCCACGCCTACCCATTGTCTTGCTCATTCTTATATCCAACTCCATCATGCCCCATATATCCATCTCATTTCCACCCATCTCCACCCACCCCCACCCACCCGTCTGTCTTCAATATTTGCTTGGCACCCTGAGTGAAGCGAAGTTGTTAGACGCCTTTAAGATTTCGAGCAACTCAAGGAACTTATCTTCACCCATCTCCACCCATTTCCACTCATCTCCACCCGACCCAACCGATCCGTGTCTCTCAGGATCTGCCCGGAGCCATGAGTGAGGTGCAGGTGTCAGACGCCTTAGAGATTCAGTTGAACTTAAGAAACGAGTCTCTCTCTCTTTTTACAATCCCTCTCACCCATCTCCACCCACCTCCACCGCTCTATATCTCTCAGGATCTGCCCGGAGCCATGAGCGAGGTGGAGGTGTCAGACGCATTGGGGCTGCATAAGATCAAGAGCCGCCCGTGGGCCATCTACAAGACCTCAGCTGTTAAGGGCGACGGGCTGTTCGAAGGGCTGGACTGGTGAGAATGACTGCTGGGTGGGTTGTGTTGTTAGATGTGCCACGTTGCATGGGTCATCATCTACAGAACGACTGATGTAAAGGGCGATGGGCTATTCGAAGGGCTGGACTGGTGAGAGTGGGACTGACTGCTGCATGGGTCATAATGCACGCGTCGTGTTGCATGAGGTTGTAGCAACTGGGTTGGGGCTGCATAAGATCAAGAGCCGCCCGTGGGCCATCTTCAAGACTTCAGCTGTTAAGGGCTATGGGCTATTTGAGGGGCTGGACTGGTGAGAGCAGTGTTGGCTGGTGCATGGGCCATATTGCATGGGCCATATTGCATGGGCCATATTGCATGGGCCATATCGCATGGGCCATATTGCATGGGCCATATTGCATGGGCCATATTGCATGGGCCATATCGCATGGGCCATATTGCATGGGCCATATTGCATGGGCCATATTGCATGGGCCATGTTGCGTGGGCCATCCTTGCATCGTGCAATTTTGCATCCTTGCATGGTGCATCCTTGCATGGTGCATGCTGCACTGTGCATGGTGCATGGCACGTACCTTCTCTCATGGCTACATTGACAAGTCCTACATTGCATTTCTGTCTGCTCTGCTCTACATGGGCTAGTCATCCACCAATGCATGCTGCCGCCTCTGTCCCTCGCGTGTGCAGGCTGAGTGAAACACTCAAATCCAAGGGCAGATGAATTGAGTGAACTTCGCTATCACAACACTTTCAATGTGGACGGAAGTGGGAAAAGTTGGAGTTGCCAGCATTTGGAGTAGTTGTTTCTAGCTCATGCAATAGCACCCTGCGCTCGAAAGAGTTTTTATTACACTATCTGCATATGATGCGGTCGTGCTTTGCAGTGGCCTTGATGGAGAAAGTGCAGTGCTTGTTTGATGATATGACAAGGGTATAGTATGCCCCCCAGGACAGCTGAGTGCAACCTCCCATGGTAGAACATTGGAAAAGGGTTACTGTCACCAAAACTGTAGACGAATATCCATGCAATGCATGCACCCTACAAAACATGGCGGATGAAACGTGTGGAGCCCCTTGCTTCAATGTACAAACTGATTGGCTATTTGACATTGACACGGAACGGAACACCCTGATGGAATCCTTGGCGGCAGGAAAACATAAAAATGTAGATGAACAAAAATTTCAGGTACAATTTCATGAATGACGACCGCGATTGTACATTGGCTTGTGACGAGGATGCGATGAATCTCTTGTCTACTTTTGTTTCCAGTCAACCCTGAGCTTCGCAAGCTGATTAGTCAGCTTTAAGTTTTAAGTTTTTATTAAGGTCGTAACCCAGACAACACAGAGGCTAAACAAGGTGATAAACCAGCGCCAAAGGCCTACGCTAAAGTAGCGTTTATCTAGCCAGACTAAGTCCACGGGATGGAAGCGGGCCACCCCACTCTGTGTTGTGAAACGATGTGGTCGGAGTCAGTTACGGTGGTTGGAACGCGTTGTTGAGCAGCCAGGAAGCCCGGAGTTCCGGGTGTATTTGAGGGGTGCCGCTGGGTGAAAACTGGAGAAATTTGTGAACGTTGGCCGCTTTGATTCGGTTGGCAGTGGTGCATTTGTGCTTCTCGGACCGTTTGCTTCGGCGATGAAAATACAGCTGGCAGGCGGAGAGAAAAAGGGCCAAAATCCGGTGTAGGGTTTCTGGGGTGGAGTGAGTGACATTGTCGTATAACTGGGAGCAACGATCCCGCCATAGTGTAGTCGCTGCTGCACCAACTAGTAGACACCAAGGCGCGATTTGTCCTGGCGGTATGGCCGGCGGGAAAAAGGCCGCTTCTGTGGGGATAGTAAGGCGGAGGTGCTTGTTGGCAGCGCGTAATAAAGCCGCTGTAACTTCCGGGGCGTTGCCGCATTCGAAGAAAATGTGAGTATGGGACTCAAGCGTATTGGTGTGGCAGCGTAGGCAGATACCGTTCGACCGTGTGTAGGGCATCCGAGCCCCACATGGCAGGGAGCGACTGTAGAGTCGATAGAGAACGTCTCGTTGTCTGCTAGGCAGACACTCGCAGCCGCTTATGTAACACGTGGTTCTAGAGCACCCAATGTGACTGTGCACACGTCAAGTCAAGGGGCTGACATGGCGAGTCTTAGCGACGACTAAATTTCAGCCATGAGTTACACATGATGCTCACCCCCTGCACGCGAAATTGCCCTGCACCGGATGGAAACCTTGCACCCGTGGGTTTTGTGCCGTGAAGTTGCACCCCATTTACAAGCACCTCGAGCAAGGTGCAGTGATTTGAAGCAGTAGTAACCACATAAACCGAAGTTTGACTGAAGAGACCGAAGTCAAACAGTCAACGAGAGGTTACAATGTTTTTTATAAGCCCTTTTTGCTAGGTGCGAATTGACGAAATCTTTGCGAAATGCATAATCGCTTATACGCCCAGAGAGCAAGGCGAGGTCGGGGGGCTCAACCGGGCATCGTCCAGCAGGATTTCCTTTCACCAACTCAGCACCATCTCCCGAAGACTGGGAGAGCCACATTTCGCTCTGACTGACGGCGATTTTTTCTGAGCATCTACACTTCCATTCCAATCTTCAACAACTGCTTGTACAGTACACGTACAATCAACACGAACTGTACAATCCACAAGACTCGCATATCTTGGTGGAGCCCTTATTGCCAGTTTGCCAGGCGAGCAAACTCCCTGACAGGTGAGCCTAGGCGCCGTCTTCACCGTCCATCCCTGATAAGCAGCTATGTACGTGTACCGCGGCAACCCAAGAACAAATTTCTTTTGTTCTCCAGCCGCTCTCCTGCAATTAGTCCCTCCCGTCGCACAATGCAGTCATGGTCTTTCCCCAGTTACTAGACTGCGTTTTATAGAATCGCGCTCTCGTCATTCATCTAACGGACTTTATGATGGTGGCACGCTCCATTACGGGTCGCCGGCTGTTACGGCTGGTCGTTGCCGTCTTCTTGACGGTTTCCGTCAATGCCTCATCCGACGAATTCACGGAGGACACCACCGCGAATGGTGGTGACGAAAGTAGGCCGCGACGCTCCCACGCTCCTTTTCAGTCGACTAAAATGACCACCTCGTCTCCTTCTTGACGGTTTCCGTCAATGCGCCCACCCTGACAGTGACGAAAGCTCGCGACGCTGCAGGGATCCCTCACAGTATCTCCGAATTCCTTCTTTCTCTTCCTTCCCCTTCTTTCCCTTCCCAACCGCGATGATCCCGACAGCGATCAACGGCCAGCAATCGTCCCCGAGGTCGCATCTGGTGGGCAGGGTAGGCGAGTTCGAAGGCGAGCTTAACTATTACCTGCCACTGCGATTTAGGTCAGTTGACGAATCTGATTACCTGCCACTGCATTTGGTCTTTAGGCGAATCTTATCATCTGCCACAATAAGATTCAGGTCAGTGGGTGAATCTTAGTACCTCCCACTGCGATTTTGGTCAGTCTTCAAATCTTCTTATGTGCGATTTAGATCCGTAAGCGATTTTATTTCCTCAGGCTGACAGTGCGACTCTGGTCAGTTGGCGAATCACCCATGCCTTCCAGGTCAGTACGGTATCCTGGATGAACTCGGGAGACAGTAGGTGAATCTTTACCAAAGCCTTCTCTCCCCCTCCCCCTACCACGCCAGGACCCACCCCGAGCGAGTCAACCTTCTGACTCGGCCGCTGGGCTTCCCTCTCTCCACAGCTCGCCGCAACGGCTTCTCTCTCCCCCTCTCCCTCTCTCCACCCGTCTTTCGCCCCCCTCCCTCCCAACCACGCCAGGAACCATCCGGAGCGAGTCAACCCACTGACTCGGCCGCTACTAGTTTTCTCCCCTCTCCACGGCTCGCCTGCCCAACGCCCTCTCCCTCTCCCCCTCTCCCCATCCATTCTTCGCCCTCTCCCCCTCTTCCCATCCATTCTTCGCCCTCTCTCCCTCCTTCCCCCTCCACGCCAGGACCCATCCCGAGCGAGTCAATTGGGACGCTACTAGAGTTTTCCTCTCTCCACGGCTCGCCTGCCCAACGTCTTCTCACTCTCTCCCCCTCTCTCCATCTATCCATTCTTCGCTTTCCCTCCTCCCCTACCACGCCAGGACCCACCTCGAGCGAGTCAGCCTCGCGACGCGGCCGCTGGGCTTCCCTCTCTCCACAGCTCGCCGCAACGTCTTCTCTTTCCCCCTCTCTCCACTCTTTCCCTGCCACGCCAGAACCCACCCCGAGCGAGTGAGCCTCGTGACGCGGCCGCTGGGCTTCCCTCTCTCCACGGCTCGCCTGGCCAACGTCTTCCTCCATTTCTTCGAGCACCTCCCCTCAGACAACTCGGGAGCCAGTTCCAGCAGCAATCCTACAGGAAGTGCGCCGAGCACCTCCCTTGACAGTGCTTCAGTAGAAAGAAGCATCTCAGAAAAGTGTGCCTCAGAGGAGAGTGATTCAGAGGAGAGTGCCTCAGGAGAGTCAGAATGGGCGGTGAAGCTGGGCTGCCACGGCCCTCCCTGCCCCTCCTTCGGCTCATGCACCGCCCGCTTCCCCAACGTGCAGGCCTGCTGGAACCCCGAGCTTGTCGATCCACCCATGAGCGAACCCATCCCCCCTATAAACTGCCCCCTTAAAGCGGACAGCGCAGGGCGTGGCGACGGGTCTCGGTCGCAGGCGAGATTCGACGAGTCGTGCTCGCACGAGCAGGACGTGGGGGTTCACGGGGCGTCCGCGCTGCAGGTGATGTGGCTGGAGGGTGTGCATGTGAATCACAATGGCTTTGCCGTCAACTGCTTTTAACCGCTTTCATGGCGCCTTGTAATTCGCTTCTTAACCCGCAATTTGTAATCTCGGCGGTCGGTGCTGCAGATGATGCGGCTGGAGGATGTGTTTGTGACGGACAATGGGTTTGCTCTCAACCGCACGCACCTGTTTGTCAGAAACGGCTGCCCACACTTCCCGGAAAAGGTGAGAGGGGGGTTACGTGGAGGGTTGCGTAACAGGAAGGGGGATGCTTTTGAACCGCACTTGCCAGGAGCCTCATGTGGCAATGGGCTCTCATGGCACGGCCAGCCAATAGAGTTTTCAAATGCGTTGCACATTCCCTTCCCTTTCCACGTGCACACTCCCTTCCCTTGTACCACCAAGCCACGTACGATGCGGGCCACGCGGTGCAGGAGCTGCCTACAGCAGTCTTCAACTTGGTTGGCACACCAACCCAACAGTGTTGCACACTCCCTCTTGAGCATTTTCCAAAGACTTACACTCTCCCTTCCCTTCCCTTCCACCAGGTCACAATAAGATGATACGACGCGGGCCACATGAAACACGAGCTGCCAACAGCAGTCTTCAACTGGTCCAGCCCAACAGCTCTTGTATCACTCTTGAGCTCTTTCAAATGCCGTGCACAGCACTGCACTCCCTTCCCTTCTAACACCAGGTCACGTACGATGCGAACCACATGGTGCACGAGCTGCCAACAGCAGTGTTCAACTGGGCGCACCACCCAGCCAACAACTTCTACCACTTCCTCATCGAGCTCGTTCCGCTCTTCCTTGTCGCCGCGCCCCTCATGCCCTCACCACTGCGACAGCTGCCTGTTCTTGTCAGGGGTGGCCAGGTGGGTTCTAACTTCAGAGTAAGCTCCCGCATTCATTACAACAGCTGCCTGTGATCGTCAGGGGTGGTCAGGTGCATGCATGGTGGGTTCTAGTTATGCTCCTGCATGCATGGTGCATGAGCTGCCAGCAGCAGTCGTCAACTGGGCGCAGCAACCGTGTGGCAGCTGATATTCTAGGCGCCTCAAAGATTGGAATGGGAATGAGGGAAAGAACATGGCAGCTCGTGGTTGAAGCTGCCAACCACCAGCTTCCAGCAGCAGTCATCAACTGGGCGCAGCGCACCAACCGTGTGGCAGGTTCAAGCCTTCAACCATCAGCTGCCGTTTCATTTTCAGTTTTGACTTTTGAGGCGCCTCAAAAATCAGCTTCAACCATCAGCTGCCATCTCATTTGCAGTTTTGAGAATTCTCAAAAGTGATTTCATTATAACGGCCCGGTGGGGTTCTAGTTATGCCATCGCAAGTCGATCTTTGAGGCGCCTAGAAAATCAGCTGCCAGTGCATTCCCAGTTTATTCCCATATCCTTTCCCTAAATCCCATGTTCTTTCCCTCATTCCCATCTCATTTCCCTTTTTCTTATGTTCTTTCCCTCATTCCCATATCCTTCCACTCATCTCGTATTCTTTTCTTCAATCCCATTTTCGTTTCTTCATTCCCATATCCTTGTTATCATTCCCATATCCTTCCCATCATTCCCATATCCTTCCCATCATTCCCATATCCTTCCCATACTCCCCAGTGCATGCATTTCATTCCCATGCCTCTCCCCTGAACCGATGTGCGTTTGACCCGCCATCTGCCATCTCATTCCCACCTCATGCCCGTCTCATTGCCATCTTATGTCGTTGTATCTCATGCCTCTCCTCACAGGTACATGCGCATGAGAAACTGGGTGCATTATATATCGAGTCGATTATAGAATCATTCTTATGTTTTGCCCATGTGTCATGCCCTTTCCCACAGGTGCATATGTATGAGCAATTGGGCGCACCACTCATAGGCATTCCAGTCGATCAGATGCGCCTGCTCCCCACATCTGGCAACGACCTGTTTCATGCGAATGTGCTGTACCAGGTAGGTAAAACATGCATGTGTGTGGTGGGCATATACCCTCTTGAATGAATAGAAAAGAAGTAATCGAATGAAGTAAAATAATATAAATGAATGAATGAATGAATGAATAAATAAACGACGTGATAGCTCCATCCTTCTCCCTAGGCCTCTCCCTGCCGATTCTACAAGGTACGGGGTGTTCAAGCCGGCAAGCATAAGATGACTTTTGTGTCGACTCAAAAGTCTACTGTTTGATGGGTCGCTGCCGATTCTACACGGTAAGGGGTGTTCTTGCCGGCAAGCATAAAGAAAGAAAGAAAGAAAGAAAGAAAGAAAGAAAAAAACTGCGTGTGTGATTGGTCGTCCTGTGACTGCTGCGTTGTTTCCAGAGTAGCTGTTCACAACTCGTAACTTCCATACCTTGAGTCCTTCGTGTCCCATCCACACCCTTTCTTTCCTCTTCTTCGTGCGTCTCATTACTCTCTCCCTTCCACCCCCCCCCCCCCCCCCTCCCCCCCCCCCCCCCCCCTCCTTCTACCCGTTTCTCCCCACCCTCCTCAGCCCGTGCGCTCCTCATGCGAGCACGCCTCTACATAGCGGGCCACGGAGCCGCAGGGGGAAAAAAGGATGATCTGCTATGAAAGAGTATATTTTTTAGACATCTCCAATGCATGGCCTACTATGCAGAACCATGTCTTGAAAAAGGTAATGAATAAAGAAAAAATGTAATACCACCGAATGTTATGGAGGCTCCTTGGCCTGCTATGAAGGATCAGGCCAAGGAGGCATGCCACCAAGCCAAATGCTATGGCTCTCTACACAAAGAGCTATGATATACAGAGAGTGTTGAGACGCATGAGAGCATGGGAGCATGACAGCATGCGAGCATGGAAACATGGGAGCTTGGCAGCATGTGAAAACGGCAGCACGCAAGCATGGGAGCATGACAGCATGGGAGCATGGGAACATAGAGGACTCAAGGTGTGGAAAGCAAACCAACATGTTCTGAATGGCGACGTGGGTTATATTCGTGAGTGAGAAGCTTTTGAGAGTTCTAAAAAGCGACCCAGGAAAAGAAGTTGGAGGCTCGACTCGCAGCAACCAACAACATACATTACTGCACCGAGAATCCAAGGTATGGAAAGCAACATTACCGCATAGAGAATCCAAGGTATGGAAAGCAACATGTGCTGTGTGGAAAGCAACATGTGCTGTGTGGAAAGCAACATGTGCTGTGTGGAAAGCAACATGTGCTGTGTGGAAAGCAACATGTGCTGTGTGGATAGCAACATGTGCTGTGTGGAAAGCAACATGTGCTGTGTGGAAAGCAACATGTGCTGTGTAGAAAGCAACATGTGCTCTGTGGAAAGCAACATGGGCTCTGTGGAAAGCAACATGTGCTCTGTGGAAAGCAACATGTGCTGTGTGGAAAGCAACATGTGCTGTGTGGAAAGCAACATGTGCTGTGTGGAAAGCAACATGTGCTGTGTGGAAAGCAACATGTGCTGTGTGGAAAGCAACATGTGCTGTGTGGAAAGCAACATGTTTCAAGGGATTCAATGGCAACCCAGGAAAACGAGCTGGAGGATTGCCGTGATCAACAACACACATTACTGCAATGCTCGTGCACCGTGAGAAGTGGTTGAAGAATGGTTTAGCTAATTTATTGCGTCTCAGTAGCTATTTTCGACGCGCCTACACATATACGCACTTGCGAGAATGCGCAAAGGCACATACACGCACATGCTTATATATACACACACATTTGCGCGTCCACACACCCCTCACCTTCCAGAAACGGTATTGACCCATCAAACACCACCACCCTTTCACGACCAAACCGCCTCACCACCTCCTCCTCCACCTCCAAAAAAATCAGCATGGCCCGATTCCTCCCTTTCGGCCGTTTCGCCAGCACGACCACCCAGTCGGAGGGGAAGGAGCAAGCCTCGGCGGGGGAGAGAGGGCGGTGGCTGCTGTAGGTCCAGTCGGGGTTGAAGAGAGGGATGCCGGAGGGGTGCAGCAGATGGCGGCGCCGCAGCGACTGCCAGAGAGAGCGGCTGGGATATTGGCAGTTCTGAAAGATGGGCTGGGGGAGGGAAATGGGTGGCCGACCAAAAAAGAAAAGAAAGGAAATAAAAGATTAGGAAAATTCTACAAACAATCTCACACACTATGATCAAATCTATCTATGTTGCATGTCCCCTAAATCTAACTGCATGGCATACATACAGATACAATGGAATCGGAATGGATACGTGACACACAAATCGATAAGGATTCCTCCTCACTCATCTTTGCCATAAATGTTCACTCTACAGTGTTGCCAATGACAGACACCATAAAATACTTCCCTAATGTTTGCGTTATTTGCGAATAGTTCTTTCCACTGCACATGTCACACACGAGGATTTTCAAGGCTGAAGAGTCACCCTGAAGTAGTCACAAGAATATAACCGGCATGCATGCATGCATCCATGCACCTGCATGGAGAGGCATGGACATGAGATGCATGCATGCATGCCTGGATTACCTGGTACACCGCATATATATGACATGAAACGTGCGCTGCATGCCTTACCTGGTACACCACATTTGCATCCATGCATGCATGCCTTACCTGGTACATCACATCAGCGTGAAACAGGGCGTTCTTGGAAGTGGGGAGCAGGCGAATCTGATCGGGTGGAGTTTTGAGGCCCCTCAACACCTACCTGGTACACCACATCAACATCCATGCATGCATGTCCCACCTGGTACACCACATCAACATCCATGCATGCATGTCCCACCTGGTACACCACATCAACATCCATGCATGCATGTCCCACCTGGTACACCACATCAACATCCATGCATGCATGTCCCACCTGGTACACCACATCAACATCCATGCATGCATGTCCCACCTGGTACACCACATCAACATCCATGCATGCATGTCCGTTTACCACATCAGCGTGAAACAGGTCGTTCTCGGAAGTGGGGAGCAAGCGAATCTGATCAAGTGGGATGCCCAGGAGTGGTGCACCCAGTTTCTCGTACATTCGCACCTGTGGGACGAGGCATGGGGGGGTGGAAATGACAGGGGAACCACATATTAGTCGACTCATTATATGCTTATGAGTGGCGCACCCAGTTTCTCATACATGCACACCTGTGGGGAGAGGCATTTGATGGGAATGACAGGGAAACCACTTTCAGTCGACTCAATATATGCTTATGAGGGGCATGTAATGGGAAGGAGATGGGCATGAGACAGGAATGAGATTGGAATGAAGGGCATGAGACGAGAAGGAGATGGGCATGAAGGGCATAAGAGGGGAAAGAGATGGGCATGAAGGGCATAAGATGGGAAGGAGATGGGCATGAAGGGCATAAGATGGGAAGGAGATGGGCATGAAGGGCATAAGATGGGAAGGAGATGGGCATGAAGGGCATAATATGGGAAGGAGATGGGCATGAAGGGCATAAGATGGGAAGGAGATGGGCATGAAGGGCATAAGATGGGAAGGAGATGGGCATGAAGGGCATAAGATGGGAAGGAGATGGGCATGAAGGGCATAAGATGAGAAGGAGATGGGCATGAAGGGCATAAGATGGGAAGGAGATGGGATGAAGGGCATAAGATGGGAAGGAGATGGGCATGAAGGGCATAAGATGAGAAGGAGATGGGCATGAAGGGAATACCATGGGAAGGAGATGGGCATGAGACGGGAATGAGATTGGAATGAAGGGCATAAGATGGGAAGGAGATGGGAATGAAGGGCATAAGATGGGAAGGAGATGGGCATGAGACGTGAATGAGGTTGGAATGAAGGGCATAAGAGTACGGCACAACACATTATCCCCCTATCCCTGAGGGGATATCCCCCAGTGTTCCTGGGAGAGCGCTCTATGACGGTGATAACATCTATGGGGGGCGGAAGGGATTGCCGAGGAGCCAAGAGGCACGAAGGCAGGATGGATGGAGGGGACGCCTTTGGCGTCAAAATATATGAAACGGAGGCGTAGGGCGGTCTTAATGCGAGAGGCTGACCGTTGCTGTTTCTTGGCTGACTGAGCTGGCCGTCTCCACAAAACGATATTGAAAGCGAGAAGAAATTGGGCGAGGATAAGTTGAAGAACTTTAAACTTGGTGGAAGACGTGTCATGAAACTTTCTTTAAAGCTCGCGTCTCATATTTCTACTATCCAACCAAGTGTTAAACGGTTGGAATTTGGTAACAGCAAAGTTTGTCGCAAAGCACACCAAAGCAAGGGGTGGTTTGGGAAAGTTGGCTGTCGCACACTTCCCGTGCACACCAAGCGTTTACAACTTCCAAAAATATGAGACTCTGAAACTCAACATTGACAGAAGGGGGGACCGAACCTGTCCCCCTTGGCTCGTTTTCCACCCAAACCAACCCACCCTGGTTTGTTTTGGCCTCGACTGTTTTGGTAGTTCGCTGTGATTTTTTCACCCACTCGTCAAATATTTCGTTTTCGTTACCCAATCACAGTCGGGCAAACCCAACCAAGTGTTAAACGGTTGGAAACATGAGACGCGAGCTTTAACATCTTGCGTTCAAGTGTTTTCGTTTTGCCCCATCGTCTTTTTCGTGTTGTGTTTCATGCCAGCTCGGTTACTGTAGTTTCTTGTTTGGCACACCCTCCCATCCACCTCGTCATCGCCTCTCCCTCCCACCCACCTCGTCATCGCCTCTCCCTCCCATCCACCTCGTCATCGCCTCTCCCTCCCACCCACCTCGTCATCGCCTCTCCCTCCCACCCACCTCGTCATCGCCTCTCCCTCCCACCTTTCCATCGCTGCTCCCTCCCACCCACCCCGCCATCCCCTCTCACTCCCACCGCACCGTGACTCTCCCTCCCACCCGCTGTCGCCGCTCCCTCCCTCCCGCCGTCGCCGCTCCCTCCCTCCCACCGTCGCCGCTCCCTCCCTCCCGCCGTCGCCGCTCCCTCCTCTCCGCCGTCGCCTATCCCTCCTCCCCGCCGTCGACTCTCCCTCCTCTCCGCCGTCGCCTCTCCCTCCTCCCCGCCGTCGTCTCTCCCTCATCTCCGCCGTCGCCTCTCCCTCCTCCCCGCCGTCGCCTCTCCCTCCTCTCCGCCGTCGCCTCTCCCTCCTCCCCGCCGTCGCCTCTCCCTCCTCTCCGCCGTCGCCTCTCCCTCCTCCCCGCCGTCGCCTCTCCCTCCTCCCCGCCGTCGCCTCTCCCTCATCCCCGCCGTCGCCTCTCCCTCCTCCCCGCCGTCGTCTCTCCCTCCTCCCCGCTGTCGCCTCTCCCTCCCACCCCGCCGTCGCCTCCGGCGACAGGAGCACGAGCGCAACCGCGAGTTGGTGCGCGAGCGCGGGTTGGTGCGCGAGCGCGGGTTGGTTTCTGGCACCGTGGTTATCAGGTGTGTTCCCGGTCCTTTCATCCTCCCTCCCCCCTCTGATTTTTTTTTCTCTCTCTTCATAAGTTTTGTGTCTTAGTCTCTTGCATTCCAGTCCCATTTGAAGTAGGAATGAGAGGGGAGTGCGAGTGAGAGAGTGTGCATGAGAGCGAGCACGCAAAAGATTGCGTGTGAGAGCCAAGAGAGGGTGGCAGAGCGTGCAGGTGGGAGCGTGGGAGGGAGAGGCAGGAGCGAAAGTACCCGTGCGCGCTTGTACCATAGGCACTTTCGCTTAGGCGCTTGCGCCGTGGGGGCGCGATTCGAGGGTGCTGGCACCGTGGGCGTGCAAGAGAGCGCGCGAGAGATCGCGCGAGAGTGCGCGCGAGAGTGCGCGTGAGAGGGAGCGTGAGGGTGCGCGTGAGAGTGCGCGTGAGGGTGCGCGTGAGAGAGCACGTGAGAGAACGCGTGAGAGACCGCGTGAGAGTGCGCGTGAGAGAGAGCGTAAGAGAGCGCGTGAGAGAGCACGTGAGAGAGAGCGTGAGAGAGCGCGTGAGGGTGCGCGTGAGAGTGCGCGTGAGAGTGCGCGTGAGTGAGCGCGTGAGAGAGCGCATGAGAGAGGGCGCGAGAGAACGAGTGAGGGTGCGCGTGAGAGTGCGCGTGAGAGTGCGCGTGAGTGAGCGCGTGAGAGAGCGCGTGAGAGTGCGCGTGAGAGAGCGCGCGAGAGAGCGCGCGAGAGCGCGCGCGAGAGAGCGCGTGAGGGTGCGCGTGAGAGTGCGCGTGAGAGTGCGCGTGAGTGAGCGCGTGAGAAAGCGCGTGAGAGAGGGCGTGAGAGAGCGCGTGAGGGTGCGCGTGAGAGTGCGTGTGAGAGTGCGCGTGAGTGAGCGCGTAAGAGAGCGCGTGAGAGTGCGCGTGAGGGAGCGCGTGAGAGAGCGCGTGAGGGAGCGCGTGTGAGAGCGCATGAGAGAGCGCGTGAGGGTGCGCCTGAGAGTGCGCGTGAGAGTGCGCGTGAGAGAGCGTGCGAGAGAGCGCGCGAGAGTGCGCGCGAGAGTGCGCGTGAGAGAGAGCGTGAGGGAGCGCGTGAGAGTGTGCGTGAGGGTGCGCGTGAGAGTGTGCGTGAGAGAGCGCATGAGGGTGCGCGTGAGAGAGCGCGTGAGAGTGCGCGCGAGAGAGAGCATGGGAGAGCGCGTGAGAGAGCGCGTGAGAGAGAGCATGAGAGAGCGCGTGAGCGTGCGCGTGAGAGTGCGCGTGAGTGAGCGCGTGAGAGAGCGCGTGAGAGTGCGCGTGAGAGAGCGCGTGAGAGAGTGCGCAAGAGCGCACGCGAGAGAGTGCGGGAGTCTGTGCGTGAGAGAGCATGAGAGTGCGCGTGAGGGAGCGCGTGAGAGAGTGCGTGAGAGATCGTGTGAGGGTGCACCTGAGAGTGTGCGTGAGAGCGCGCGTGAGAGTGCGCGTGAGAGAGCGCGCGAGAGAGCGCGCGAGAGCGCGCGCGAGAGAGCGCGCAAGAGAGCGGACGAAAGCGCGCGCGACAGTGCGTGTGAGAGTGTGCGTGAGAGAGAGCGTGAGGGAGCGCGTGAGAGTGCGCATGAGGGAGTGCGTGAGAGAGCGCATGAGAGAGCGCGTGAGAGTGCGCGGCGTGAGAGAGAGCGTGAGAGAGCGCGTAAGAGAGAGCGTGAGAGGGCGCGTTAGAGAGACTGTGAGGGAGCGCGTGAGGGTGCGCGTGAGGGTGCGCGTGAGAGTGCGCGTAAGAATGCGCGCGGGAGAGCGCGTGAAAGAGCGCGTGAGAGTGCGCGTGAGAGAGAGCGTGAGAGAGCATGTTAAAGAGCCCGTGAGGGAGCGCGTGAGAGAGCGCGTGAGGGTGCACGTGAGAGAGCGCGTGAGAGTGCGTGTGAGAGAGCGCGTAAGAGTGCGCGTGAGATTGCGCATAAGAGTTCGCGTGAGAGAGCACGTGAGTGAGCGTGTGAGAGAGTGCGTGAGAGCGCATGAGGGTGCGCGTGAGAGTGAGTGCGAGAGTAAGTGCGATGGAGACTGCGATGTTGAGCGCAAGCGTGATTGTGGGTGTGAGTGCGAGGGTGTGTGAGATGGTGTGTGTGAGGGCAAGTAGGAGAGTGAGTTACACGACTGATACCAGTCAAAACCATTGCTCATCTTTGATTGATCCATGCGTTCTTAAAAAACACTTTCTATTGTGCTTATTTCGTTTCTAGTGCATGTGTGAGTTGCATTCTTTGTTTCTGTTTTCTTGTCCAATGCTGTGAGGTGTACTCTTTGTCTTTTCTTGTGCAGAGCGGGTGACTTGCCCTCCTCGCAGTGCACGTGAGTTGCATGATCTGTTTACTGCTTTCTTGTGCACTGTATGTGAACATCCTCTGTTTTTGTTTTTATTGTGCAGGGTACCGTACGTGTGTTCCATTCACTAATTTTGCTTTGTGCAGGGCGCGCGAGGGCATTCTTTGATTTTGTTTGGCAGAGAAGGGAGATGAGGGAGGCAGTGGGAGGGAGAAGAGGGAGGGGTGTAGGGAGGGTATGGGGTAATTGGCTAGCGATGATTTATGAATATCTGAATTTCATGATGGTTTCGTGTTTATTTTCGGTATGTATTGTGAAGATAAAAGCGAGGAATGATTGAACTAGCAAGCAGGTGGGTACAAGTAGGAAAACCTAGAAGAGTTGTACCCCATATGAACTACCCCACTACAGTTTACACAGACTATCGCATATAAGTTTGACACACCCCCATAGGCAAAGTGGGGGAGAACAAGAGGTCACAAGACCAGTCAAGGAAGGCAAAACAAGCTCAGGGTGGATCACAACGTCACCACGCATTCTGAGCACAAGCAAATGGCCACAAGGCCAGTTCACATGCAAAGTAATGTAAAGGAGAACAAACAATACAGTGATCACAACCTAGCAAGTGTAAGCATGCAGGTACAAGCAGTACAAGCAGAGTCAAGAAGTAAGCAAGTGAGGCCCAGTGGGCACAAGGCCTAGAACAGTACAGAAACGCTGATGATCACAAGGCTGAAGTGCCTTGGTGAAGACATCAGCAGTGTTGGCCTGAGTGGCCACGTAAGCAAGACGAAGCTGACCACGCTGCTGCAACTCTCGAGCAAGAAAGTAGCGCAGAGCGATGTGCTTCGTTCTGTGCTCCAGTCTGTGCTCCTGACACAAGGCAATCATGACCTTGTTGTCGACGTACATCACTGGAGGAGAACGAGACAGCTCTCCCATGTCGGTCAGCAGGTAGGTGAGCCAGCGTAACTCCTGTGTAGCCATGGCCCCTGCGTAGATCTCAGCCTCACAGCTGGAGCTGAGAACAGAAGACGAGCGGGTAGACCGCCAAGAAACAGAACCGGAGCCAAGGCTGAAGGTGTAACCCTGTGACGACCGCTGCGTAGCCAAGTTGTCAGCCCAGGAAGCGTCTGCGTGACCAGTGAGGACAACTCGAGCCCGTCCTCCAAGCACGAGCCCCATGCCCGACGTACTGCACAAGTAGCGCATCACCCTCTTAGCGGCCTCCATGTGCTCTGGTCGGTGTCTCCTGGGCGCAACGTAGCGAGCCAGGATGCTAAGAGGGTAAGCAAGGTCAGGTCGAGTGCAGGTCATCAGGTACATGAGGCAGCCCACAAGTTCTGGATACGGGCCACTCGGCTCTACGGACTCATCCGAAGGCAGAGCTGAGAGCGAGTGACCGGTAGGCAGAGGAGTAGACTGTGGCGAGGAGTACGTGAAGCGGAAGCGCTGAAGGACCTGCTGCACCATGTGTGACTGAGTCAAGGTAATGGTGCGCTGTGCCCTGTCCCGGGTGATCCGCAAGCCAAGATAGCTAGTCAGCTCACCCAGGTCTGTGCACGTGTGTCTCTTCTGCAGCTCCGACTTCACGTGGGCGAGTCCCTCAGTGTCAGAAGTAGCAAAGACCAAGTCGTCGACATACACGAGAACGTAGAACGGCGGCAGAGAGGTGTCGGTGCGTAGAAACAGCGACGGGTCAGCAGTGGAAGGAGCAAACCCAAGAGCAGCAAGAGTCGTCCTCAGTGTGTCGTGCCACTCACGGGGCGCCTGGCCGAGACTGTAGACTGGCCGCCGGAAGCTCCACTGGGTACCAGCAGGAAACGACCCAGTGAAGCAAGGTGGGCGGCGCAGCCAGATCTCCTCGTGCAGGCTGCCCTGTAGGAAAGCAGTGCTGAAGTCAAGAGAGTGAAGCTCGTAGTCACGCTGAGCAGCGACGTGCAGCAGAACCCGAAGAGTGGTCATCTTCGGGGTAGGGGAGAAGGTCTGAAAGAAGTCAACTCCCTCTCGCTGATTGAAGCCTCGTGCAACGTAACGCGCCTTGAAGACAGGCGGAGAACCCGGCGACCGCTTCACCCTGAAAATCCACATGCCACTGACAATGTTCGCCCCAGGCGGGGGAACCTCGTCGACGTAGGTGCCTGTGGACTTCCAGGAAGCCATCTCTGCGTCCATGGCTGTCTGCCAGTGAGAGGATTAGAAACCCTCTATCGCCTCTGCGTAAGAGCGCGGGGTCGGGATGTCTGGTGCATCCAAGTCTCCCTCAGGTGCAAGCAGCATGGACACGAGATAAGGTAAAGCAGCGGCAAATCACTCAAACTCCTCCTGTTTGTCCTCAAGGACGTCTGTGCCAAGAGCACACTCACCCCCGACGGACGGAGGACAGACAGACTCAGACTCAGACTCAGCAACAAGACTAGCGGCGTAGTCTAGACGACAGGCGGCAGCAAAGTCAACAAGCTCAGCAACTAGAGCAGACGCAGCAGTGGAATCAAACGAAGGGTCAGTGACAACAGTGGCCAGGAGACGCGTGACAGTAGGACTAGCAGCATGAAGGGAGTCAGACTCCGGGTCCGGACCGTCAGGAAGAGAGGACGCAGAAGGAGACGGCAGAGGGACACGCTGCGGAGCAGTGGAAGGACGAAGTGCCATCAGGTATGTGCCGGGGACAGCAGGAGGACGCTGACGCGGAACACGACGACCAGTGCGGGCAGCTCGAACAGGCGACGCAGGATGAGACTCAGGCGACGCAGGACGAGACTCAGGCTCACGACTCTCCGTAAGACCTCTAGTCGGCCCACAGTAAGGAGAAGGACCAGGCAATGGGGAGGCTGGCTGTAACTCCGACTGCGACTGGTCAGGCGGTGGAA